AAATAAATATTACTTTCCTTCATGGTACCTAGACTTTATGAATTTAAGTACTAGATTGGCAGTTAGGTCTCATCATTTTACAGTTGAAATGGTGATATGTAACTATAATTTCTATGTTAACAGTTTCTTCTCTTACAGTTCTCGCTTGCTGAACTCTCTTCTGGCTTCGCCAGTCAAGTTTGATCTTTAAAAATTTAAATGCAATGTCAATCATTAATTTTTTTATATAAAGCCAAAGCAGAATCTGCAATATTATTGGTTCTGATCTGACGTCTCAGCTTCAGTCACTTTCCAGTTGCTGTAACATACTTTCATGATAATTGTTCTGATGAACTTTCCTCTGTCAGCCATTAGTGTCTGTATTCTTAAATCTTGTTCTTTTATTGTCTTCTCTGCTAAATAGTATATTTTTCTCATATTCCCTAACAGTAACCCTTTGTGTCTTATTGGCTTTATTGCCTTGCTTGGGGTTAAAATGATAAAAAAAAAATCCTCATTCTAGAGTGAAATTGTTTTATTCTCTCATCAACAGTTTAAATTATTTTCAATTCTGAATGGAACTTCTGAAATAAAATTGTAAATTAAAATTAATATGAGCTACTATAAGTAAACATATACTTTGAGAAGACCTGATTAATACATAAATAAGGACAGTTGGGATGGGGAAGGGATGTCGGACAAATATCTGTGTGACAATATCACCTTCCTTCTCATGATTGTGTGCACAAATTGCAACCCTCTTATGTAAATGCAGTCTTTTCAAACTCATGACATTGCATGACTTTGTGTCATATCTTGGCAGAGGTAAGTTGCTAACCAGTAAACATAGTTTCAAATTAGTTCACACATACAGACCTAAGTACAAATACACTTGATGTACTTAGATACAAGTTGAACCTTACTCATCTGGGATTGGCAGATTTGAAGTCTTAGGCACATGATTTAACTTATGGTTATTGGTTTATAGGTACAAATGAAAAAAAAAAATAGAGATTGAAACCTGAGAAATTGAGTCCGGGGAGAAAAAAAAACTAGTATAAATTTAGTTTTATCCTCAAAAAACATAAAAATTAGAAAAAAATCTTTTTTCTTGACATTTTAATCTGGAGATATGTTAAAAAGTAAGAATGAGAAAAGTAGTTTATCTGTAAGTAATAATTTAATAAAAATTTAAATTAGTAAATGTGTACATGGAAGAAAATAATTTAGATACAAATTGAATCTGACTCATCTGGGATTTTTATCTTTGAAGGTTTGGACAGATGATTTGAGTCGGTATTTTATCATTTTATAGGTATTTTTATTTTAAATCATTTCACCCCAAGCAAGGCAATAAATCTACTAAGACGTAAGGGGTTACTGAGTGTGAGAGAATATGAGAAAAAAACAATATTAAGGAGAGAGAATAATAAAAGAACAAGAATTAAGAAGACAGAAGATAATGATTGACATTGCATTTAATTTTTTGAAGATTGAATTGGACTAAGAATCAAGAGGCCAGAGAGTTCCACAAGCAAGAAGTGCGAGAGAAGAAACTATTAGCATAATCACTTTGGGAAAGGTATGAACCCTTCTCTTCTCCACAGAGCTATGGGTTAAAATTAGTAGGACTTGTATCTGGAAAAATACTTGCTTTCACCAAAAAAAGTGTTAATGCAATATTCACTTACAAAAAGAAAAAAATTATCTGACAAATTCAAAATAAGTTTTAGTTTGAATAAACCACAAAAGGTTGATAAGCTGTAAAAAACAATCACTATATACACACACACACACACACACACATATATATATATATATATATATATATATACACACATCGAGCAGATATGAAGGTACGAGAGAAAATCATGGAGAATTGTAGTTTAAAAAAAGTAAAATCAACTCTGTGGCTCAGTTGGTAAAAGCAAGTCAGGCTATATGAGAGTTCTGTATAGGATACAGGTTCGATTCCTGTCGGAGGACGCATATTTTCTATGAAATTTCTTGAACATTCAGGCTGGTAAATGTCATTAATACTGTTTATTATAAACAGAGTATTTACTTAAATATTTGTATCTATAAAAAGAACATATAAGAATAAAAAAAATGTCTTTTTATATATATATATATATATATATATATATATATATATATATTAAGACATTTTTTATTTCTTATATATATATATATATATATATATATATTAATTATTTCATTCCAAGTAAGGCAATAAAGCCACTAGGATGCAAGAAGTTACTGAGTGATAGAGAATGTTAGAAAAACTACTATTAAGGAGAGACAACAACAAAAGAATAAGAATTAAGAAGACAGAAGATAATGATTGACATTGCATTTAAATTTTTGAAGATCAAAGTTGACTTGGAAGCAAGAAGCCAGAAGAGAGTTCCACAAGCAATACATGTGAGAAAATAAACTGTTAGAACTTATCATTACATCTTGCCATTTCAACTCTAAATTGATGAAATCTTGCCTGCAGTCTTGTACAGTGCTTAAATTCCTAAAGATTAGTGTGTGAGAATTGGTCGGAAGCACACACAATAAAAGCAAACTATATATAAGTCCAATGAGCAAAATAGTGGTACTCAGTCCAATAGGCAAATCAATTCCACAAATGCTGACTATCACCGTTCCTCAATCTCAGGTAAGCAACTCCTTTTGCCAAAAATGAGTTTTCCCTTTGAATGAGCATACCATGCTTTTATGCACCTGACCAGCCATTGCTCAACCAATGAGCGCCCAGAACCAGCCAATAAAAATGGCTACAAGCAACACCACCACTTCTGTCCACATGAAGTGCTGCCCAATTCATCTTCAGTCCAAAACTCACAAATTCACCATCTCCGCACTCCATTGGAAAACATACTCATGATTCTGGGTCACCAAGTTAAGTCTCTGCTAAAACTAGGTACCATAGAGGAAAGTAACATTGTAATTTCTTGAAAATAATATGCACCCATAAATAATACATACCCCAACAAATGATTAAAAAATTAAGAAATGTATCTATCTCTATGTATAATACGCGTCTATAAATTTTTGTCAAAAAAAAATAAAAAAGTAATTATGAAGACATTTTGTCAACCTTGACATTAAGAATAAAATTGAAACTAAGTGGCTAAAATAATGTTGAAAATTAACATAGTTATCCTGATAAATATAATGTTTTATTTTACCACCAAAATTCCGTCAGTGAAGATGTTATAAAGCGAGGTTACAAGAAGTGTTGTCTTACGACAGCCATGGATGGCTCTGAAGATGACATCCTTCGGCAAGAGAATGGAGAGTCTGAAGATAATTTTGAACAGGATGAAGATAATATTGTGAATGATAATTTGTTTAATGACAATTTAGATATTGATTCTATAATACAAAGTGGTGATGATTATGATGAAAATTTAAATTTCAATAAATTGTTAACTTCATATCCTCTTTTCTTCGAAATTGGCCTTTTTAGAGATTTTTTATTTTTTCACCAAATAAAAGATGCAGTTACTGATAAACATAAATTTATTGACAGAAAAATGTTACAATTATGATTGTTGGATTTAAAATGAAAATTGGGATAATATCTTTCTTATTTTAGAACAAGTACGTATTTATTATTATAAATCAATAATGAAAAAATATTTTTGTTTAAACCTATTTATAATACGCACCCCTAATATCACCTGTAATTTACAGTAAAAAATGTGTATTATTTTCAAGAAATTATGATACTTATTTCTTAAAATTCAAAAGTGTGACACAAGTTCAAAAGCAGGGATACAGGAAGGCTGGTCTTCAATCTGTCTTATCTTAAAATTAACCAGCCACCATTACTGACCAAAACATACAACAGTATTCCTTACACTAACACAACATATTCTTTCTTACCATTCTTACTACAGCTACCATAATAAAATGTCTCTATGAAATCCTAACTCGTTCCCATATGTACAATTTATCTGGGTGGGGGGATAAAAATTACAACATTTAACAATGAAACCGTAATGAATATTTACAATGATTACAATTACATAGAGGAAAGTAATGTTTATTTTGATATAATACAAAAATGTGGCACAAGGCCAAAGGGGGGGGCATAGGAGAAGGCTGGTCTTCAATCTGTCTTATCTTAAACTTAGCTATACACGATTACTCACCCGAACATACCACAGTATTCCTTGCACCAAAACATTCTTACTACAGTCACGACAATACCTCTTACAAATAAACTCTCTATACACCTGAGTAGGGCACAATGGCCAAAACATTGTGATAAAAACAACAAAGATGAGGACAATAGTCCAAGTATAAATAGTGCAAATAATAATAACTCCTCATCCTATAAATTCAGGCAGAAATTAAAATATTAATTTAAATTATTAAAACTGAAAAAATTTGATGATTTAAATTTTCTGAAGATTTGTCCTTATAACTTGTATAAATATTAAGAAATAAAAAAAATTTCTTGAAATATCATAGAATTAAATGAGTGGGTAAGGTAACAGATATAAAAAATATTTTTACAAAGATTTTCTAAAAAAAAAGAAACATTTAAGAAATAATTTAATTAATTTCTGAATAAGCTACAAAAGTTACATTATGATCCAATAATTATCTGATTTTTGCAAGAATTTCCAAATCAATGTTTCCCCTGCTAAAAGACACTCAAATTTTTCATACAAATTTATGGTCTAACGTTGACACCAGAAAAACAAGATTTTAACCAAAATTGCCAAGGTCCTAAAAAGAGTAAAAAATTCACTTTTTTAGGGAATATTTTGAGGTACCTAGATAAAATTTATTTCTAGATACCAAAAGAAATTATTCGAGAAAATCCAATGCTACATCAGTATAAACAGAAACTATTCTTAACTCAGCCTAATATTTCTTTATTATTTATTTATTTCTAGATACCAAAAGAAATTATTTGAGAAAATTCAACGCTACATCAGTATAAATGGAAATTATTCTTAATTCAGCCTAATATTTCTTTTTCTTTCTTAATTTTTCAGGCAATTTGTAACAGTCTTATATTTTTAGCAGTCATTATCACTGGTATCTTCATTCGTTATCCTTGCGAAGCATCCCAACGAAAAGCTTTTCTTGAAACACAACGCTGGATCAAAATGCGACTAAACACCCAAAGAGAAAACCAACAGCAGGTAAGAAATTCTTCTTCTTCTTTCAGGTGATGCATCTCTTCAGATCGTGTATGATCATGGCTCTTCACAATTTCCTATTCTTTGTAGTTCAAAGTAATGTTTGTCTTCTTCCAGTTCCTCAAAAAGTGGATTTAAACCTAAAAACTACTACTGTGGACATACTGTTGAAGCAGAAGTGGCAGTTACATTATTAACTATTTCAACAGTAAATGGGTGGGACCTAGATGACAATCTAGTAGTACACTTAAACTCATGTAGTCAGGGCAACAGCAAAAAATGCTCATCGGAGCAGATGCCATGAAAATATTTGTAGAAAAGACAGAGTGAAGCCACATCACATTGGTGAGAAAGTGACTGAAGTCGAGATGCCAAGTCAGGATCGATTACATTGCAGATCCTTCTTTGGATTTTGTTGAGAACCTCAAGATGAATAGTATGAACACCAGACTAGATATGGCAACAGTATTCAATGTATGGGAAAATAGTATGTTTGTAAATATGTAAGATGGACTCTGATAAGAAAAACTTTCTAGCATAACACAATGAACCAACTTTTCTCACAGTAGATACAGCTATATACAGCTTTGATGTAGTCAGTACAGTGAGACACTCTCCTTGAGTGAAGCATCAGCCATTCTGATAGAGGGCAGGGAAATTTCTCTATGGTGGTTAAATGAGAGCAGTTTATTTTTGGAAGCATTAAAATTCACAAACTATTTCCAGCCCCAGTTCTCTTAATTGAGTTCCTTTTTGAGAGCAGCGGCCAGGTTAAGTCAGTGCTGTCGGATTTACAGTTGAGACAGGAGTAAATGGTAGTGTCATTTGCATAGATGCCTACTTAGGAATTGATGACATCAGGAAGATTATTGATTAAGATCAGAAACAGTATAGGACCTAGGATAGAGCCTTGGGGGATAACTGCATTTGTGTGAAAGGATCTGGAAGAAAGCCCGTTCAGAACAGCCTTCATTTAACGATTAGTGAGAAATGATTAAATTAACTCAGTAATTGTCCTGTAATACCGTAGCCCTGAAGCTTATGTAAAAGACCAGATGCCAAACCCTGTCAAGTGCCTTTGAGATATCTAGAGCCACAACACAAGCTTTGCTGGTATTATCAAGAGCTTGATAATTCAGTTATGGCCATAAGCACATCAGCGGCACACCGGGCAAAATGGAAACCATATTGTTTATCAGAGTGTAGGTCATGAGAAGTAAGATGCTTAACTACTTCAGCATTGATTAAAGCCTTGAATACTTTGCCAAAAAGCAGTAGGAGATTGATAGAGCAATAGAGGGGTTAGAATATTCTCCAGTTTTTAAAGACAGTGACTACAGACGAGGACTTCCAACAAGTTGGAAAGTAGGAAACAGAAAGGCAATAATTGTATAGTTTATAAAGAATTGAAGCCAGCTTGGGAATACATTACTTTAGGACAATGGCTGGTATCCTGTCACCTTGTGGGAGTCCAATTTAGAAATAATGCCCAAGACCAGCAACAGGTCTATATGTATATCACTCAGTAGAGCCTCAGTTTTAGGGTGGGGGAAAATCAGGTATGTGTACTCCAGATAAGTCGAGTGTTGAGTTGGATGAGAATTTTTGAGATGTCAGGACTTTGAACTGATTGAATAGTGGAGGGATTGAGGATTGTCCAGCACACACTTGCAGAATCACCAGTAGTCAATTCTGGAGCTTATGTAGAAGACCAGCATGCAAACACCTTCGAGATATCTATAGCCACAGCTTGAGCTTTGCCATTCCTATCAAGAGCTTGATATACATATTCAGTGGTGGCTGTTAGCACATCAGCAGTAGACCTGGCAAAACGGAAGCCATAGGTCGTGAGCGGTAAGATGCTTAACTACTTCAGCATTAATTAAAGCCTCAAAGACTTTACTGAAAGTGGTAGGAGACTAATGTGGCAATAGAGGAGTCAGAAGGTTCTCCAGAGAACTACAGACAAGGACTTCCAACAAGCAGGAAGCAGCGAGGCAATAGTTGTAGAGGCTAGAGAGAACTGGAGCCAGCTTGGAAATACATTACTTTAGGACAATGGCTGGTATCCTGTCACCTCCGCTTGCCTTGTGGGAGTCCAATTTAGAAATAATACCCAAGACCAGCAACAGGGTTATGTTCATATCACTCAGTAGAGCCTCAGTCCTAGGGTGAGGGGAAATCATGTGTGGGTACTCCAGATAAGTCGAGTGTTGAGTTGGATGAGAATTTCTAAGCAAAGCCTTCAACCTTATCTACTGTAGATGTCAGGACTTTGAACTGATTGAATAGGGAAGGAATTGCGAATATGCTGTTGTTCAGCACACTCTTACAGAGCCACCAATAATCTCTAGAACCGAACTTACAAGATGCTATATGTTGTTTCATTCTTTCAGAAAACAGTAACTTTGCTTCAGTGAGAACATGATAAATGGCTCTATATATCTCATGTAAATGGGTTTATACATACATAAATACATATACATATATATATATATATATATATATATATATATGAGCCTGGTCTGAGATTAAATATGGCAAATTGCAAGATCAGTACTCTTTCAATATATATATATTCTCACCCCAGCTATTGGTAATAGCAGAGGACAGGTTGGATCCTATAGCCTTGGCAAACAATAACTCTGAACTCAAAGAACTGTGGTTGGTTCTGCACAACCTTCATCAAATAATATGTATACGTATTCTGATTGTTCGGTTCTAAGAACTGAGTTGCTGTATCCTCACATGGCAAAAAAAAATGTTCCTATTGTTAGATTAAGCTTTGAACCGGTGTATCATGGAAATGATTAAAGACATCTTACTGGAATTCTCTGAGATTTTTATAACACTATTGGACTCTACTTTGAACAATAAGTATGTATAATTTCTCTCCAAGCTTAACAGAAGAATCATGATGAAATTGATCATAAAATTAATTAATCATAACTAAGGCTTGGAAGCTCATGAAGGATTGAAATAGTTATATGATTCCAGGATAATTTTCTAACTTATTCAAGATGATCTTTGCCCTCTCTAACCCTCTAACTTTCTGTCCTAGAGTAACAAGGTGCCTCACACTTTCCAGTTAGCAGAAATTTGAAGCAGAAATGGTATCTCTGGAAAAAAATCATCAAACATGTGTGTTTATAAGTAGTAATTTGAACTTTGCTAACCAGAAGTTCTCTGGTTAACAATACATCAGGCCAACTGATGGTTTTCGCATGGGATACAGGTTTGATTCCTGTCAGAGAACGCATATTTTCTACAAAATTTCTTGAATATTCAGGCCAGTAAATGTAAATAGTACTGTTTTAATTAAAAACAGAGCATTTACTCAAATAAGTTGTATCCATAAAAATAATGCATAAATAATATATATATATATATATATATATATATATATATATATATATATATATATATATATATATATATATAATTTAAATAAAACAGACCATTTTAAGGTTCCATGTAATAAATTATTTCACCACAGCCCTTTTAAAAGGACTGCGGATCATCAGACTTTACTTTCAAACAAAAAATGAAAAGAAAATGCTCCAAGTTAGCGGGAAGGCCAAGACCAACTTTGTATTTCCAAACTCCCATCGACAGTGGAAATAATCACTTTTTTTCATGCTTCTACGGCAGTTTTCATGTAGTTTGTGGCCATTTTCTACTGGCCAGAGTGAGAGACAATAGCTGGCTGCCACGAATAGGCAGGAAGATTCTACTGGCCAATCTGAGAGCCAACAGCTGACTGACACGAATGTTAACTAGCATGCTCACATGCAAAAAAAATTGATAGCTGCATTCGTCACAAGTGGGAAAAATTTAAATCTGCATGGCACTTTACTCCAGTTGGCTCATTCGCTTGCTTAAACTCAACGTTGATTCCGATTCCGCAGAACTGGGTTGGCTGTGAAAAAGTATTTGTTGTTAACATTCTTCAGTTTTTCCAGTTACGAGTCCTTTTTTAAAGCTGATCGTTTTGTGTTCATTTTGTTTAGTCATTTTTTTGTAACAGATTTAATGTTTAGTATAGAGCTTAGAAAAAATTTGCAGTGTGAGATAGGCAAGAAGTAAGGCATGTAGCAACATCAGCATGGCAAAGGGCACTCCTTTAAAGGAAAGGAAGGGCAAAAATATTTTAAGTCAAGTGATAGCGATTGCTGTATGAGTCGAACGATTTTTGAATCAAGCACGGGCAACGCCGGGCCATGCTGCTAGTAATATATACTTCTTCCTCTTACAATAACTTTATTCAGTAATGATCTACCTTAAGTGACTCTTGGGCTTTGAATTAATGGGAAAATAATATTTTTTTTAAGAAAGACATTTTTGATGATCTAACCTGCTATATCTAGATATAGGTTAGTGTCAGCTAATCAACATTTACAGTCAGTTTTGATTAAATTAATTTTTGAACTGTAGCTTGGCTTCACTTTGTATCAGAAAAAAGAATTTCTGCATTCTCATTCGTTTTTCTTCTTCAACAACACTTAAAAAAAGATAGTATTATGTTTGGTTTATTCAAAATTCAAAATGGAATTTTATAATCATGCTTGTTTCTCTAGGCATTGCACCCTTTTATTACCATTACTTCAGATAAATAATGGACCCTTCCATTCTGATTGCAAGGAAAGATGGATTGATTAATTTGTTTGTTTAATGGCATTTCAATTCCGTTATGGGTCATTTAATGCAGAAATTTAATTTTCTTGAGAGCTTTGAAGTAATAACAATAGGATAAGTTATTCTGCTTTCACAATTGAATACATGGTAGTTGATACTCAGCTTTTGTGCATATACATGTTTGTGTGTGCATGATTACTCTAAGGTGGTGAGATGTGTGTTTTATACTGTAGTTTTGTTGAAGTTATATTTTGGAATGCAGTTTGATTTCTTTAAGATATTATAGAGGATATTATACGGATTAATGTAATCAAAGAGTTCTTTCATGTTGATTGCTTGGTTGATTTTTTGTAGCTTCCTACAAAAAATATCCTATCAATCTCCATGGGTTATTTAATGTTGAAATGTTAATAATTTAAAAAATTTTAGGCCTTCAACTAAACATCTGTCTATATTTCTGAAATGAGGTATTATGTACACTATTTATATTATTCGGACTATTGTCCTCATCTACGGGCTCAGACATACCCACATTAAAAAGGCCTTGTGCCACATTCAATTCCTGTGGGTGAATTGATAAATACCATCTTTGTCGCCATATTTATCACGTTTTGGCCGTTGTACGCTCAGGCCTTATATATATATATATATATATATATATAATTATGTGTATGTCTTAGTGGTATAAAAGTCTTTCTGAGAACAAAGAATGTTTGTCATTCCTTTTCCTTTCAGCCATTCCATTCTGTCTGTGAACTAGGGTGTTATATCACAGATATAATAATGCCCATAATGAAATATAAATGGGAGAAAAAATCTTTCTACTGCAGCTTTCACCCATTATACCTCCATAAATTTACTAGCAAATTTGAATGCATCATATTTTGTGAGATATTCGTATTGTTGACCATTAATTCTTGTGATTCTTGCAGGAGAGCCTTCTTTTATCGGTTTTACCACAACATATTGCAATGGAAATGAAATCAGATATTGCTGGCAAACCCAAAGACAGCATGTTTCATAAGATTTATCTGAAACGATATGACAGTGTCAGGTAAGTATATTAGTTCCTCATTTAGTTTCCTGTCAAAAAATAATAAATTATCTGGTAGGTGATATTCAAAATTTTCTTCTTTTTTTTTTTAATTATCTCAATATTCTAATTAATCTTTCACTGCTACAGGTGCTAATATTAGATTTATGACAAGATGTAAGTGAATTCCTCAGTCTATGTGAGTGAATGTTGGGACTCTAGCAAATTGAATTATTTTTTAATTTTTTTTTAATTAAGAACTTTTCACAAGTTCAGACTCATGACAAGATGTAAGTGAATTCCTCAGTCTACGTGAGTGAATGTTGGGACTCTAGCAAATTGAATCATTTCTTTATTATATTTTTTTAATTAAGAACTTTATCACAAGTTCAGATTTATGACAAGGTGTAAGAGAATTCCTCAGTCTATGTGAGTGAGTGTTGGGACTCTAGCAAATTGAATTTTTTCTTTATTATTTTTTTTTTTTAACTAAGAACTTTATCACAAAATCAGATTTTGCTGTTCACAGTTTGTTTGGTTTGGTTTGGTTTATTTTGTTTCATGTCATATCAACCTGAACAGGTTATTTAATACCGACAAGATTTTTGGGATAGGTAGATACAAATAAAATGCATATTCTTTGTAAGAAATTAGTTTGTAGATCAGGTTTCATTGACATATTTTTTAAAGAAATTTTTTGTCAAGAATCAAACATATAGCTGGTAATATTTTTTCCAGAAAAGTATTACTGGTAATTATATTTTTTCCAAAAATGTATTGCTGGTAATATTTTTTTTCAAAAAATATTGCAGGTATTTTTACTACAAAAACCTATTTTTACACTTTCATAGTATTTTGACTCTGGTTTTGTTGTTAACTATATGCGCATGGCTTGGACCCAAACACATGCTCCCAACACAGGTCAAGGTTAACCTGGGAACAATAGCAATTAAGAGCAGTTCCATGCTCCTCAAAATCTCCTGATCAGAGGTCTTGCTGCCAGATGTAATTTATCATCATACCCATGATGACTCATTTTCTGTATTCCTGAATTCTGTTCTTTTATTAACCATTTTCCTCACAAAAGTCTTCTCATTTTGTTTCACTCCCAGTAATCCCTTGCATCCTATTGGTATTACCACATTGTTTGCATTGAAATGATTTTTAAAAGAATGAATATTGTTCTATTTTATGTTAGAAATTGAAAATAATAAATAAATCCAAGACCACAAAGAAATCTAAGCAATTGATATGTATGTACACGTATGTATGTGTGTGTGTGTGTGTGTGCATATATATATATATATATATATATATATATATATATATATATATATATATATATATATATATATAGATGATATGTATCTATTTGCATATGTGAGAACATTGTGTGTGTGTGTGTGAGAGGTGTATACAGGATGTTATGTATAAATTCTTGTCTAAATTATGCAAAAAGAAAATAACACTGATATCTCATTTTAACACATATGTTTATCAAAATTAAAATCACCATTGGCTTTAACCACGGCCTCTAGATAACTTTGGAATCTCCTGCAACTCTTCTGGATGGTCTCCTTGTTTAAGTTGGTGAATGCTGCCATAATCTTTGCCTTCAGTGCATCTTTGGTATTACAAGGAGTTGTGTTGGTCTCTCACTCAACCTCCCGCAATACATAATAATCAAGGGGGTTGCAGTCTGGGGTGTTAGGTGGTCAGATGTAAGGGGTGATGTGGTCGTAGAAATTATCTAACAGCTATGACTGGGTACTCCTAAGTGTGTGGCATGGTGCCAGACATAGGGTCTTCCAGCAGCCATCCTCTTGACATAAGACAGCAATACCTCCACAATGCACTTGATGTAGGCCTCCTTGTTGAGTCTAAAGCCCTGTAGGAACATGAATGGTGGCATAATGTTGATCACTATTGATCACTCCAAACACCTTCATAATCACCATGAGACTCATCCGACTCTTTCTGAATCCTCTGGACTGTCCTCAGATTTCTAAGCAAACACTGCAAATTGTTTGTATTGAAGCTTCTAGTGTGAAAGACATGCAGTATGGCATGACGTTTCCAAATTTCTGGTGGGGGGTGGGAATTGCATCATGGTGCTCTTTTTTTCACAGACAGTGCCTAACTAACCCTACTATATTGTGCAGTCGACAAAATCAAAAACAAACAACGCGCATGCACCAAATTAAAAATATAAAATTGTGATAGTATACCCATTGCACTCTGTATATGTCACAGGGAGGGGTGTACACATGTCATGTGTGAATGTGTGTATATATGTGTGTGCAGCTAAGTGGAACTTTCTCCTTAGCAAAGATTACAAAGGAAATGAGAAGGATTTGGCATGGCCAGTCCTAGCTGTGAAGGTCTGAATTAGTGAAACTAAGGAGTGTAGTTCATCTGAACATTTGCCATGGAAATAGCAACAGAGTTAAACTTTATCACTCTGTATGTGACTTCATTTGCTGTGCAAAAGGTTTGTCCTGCCACTGAAGGTGACTCTGATCCCTGAGTTTGAATTTTTTAATTTCATAGTTTTGTTGCCATATTCTGTTATGACAATAGAAAACACCTTTGAGTGAAATTAACAGTAAGGATACTGCAATTGAGAAGCCTTGATAAAGAATGCAGTGGGAAGGAGAGTAATATTAATAATGCTGATTGCTAAAGGTTAATGATTGAATAAGGTCATAGTGAGTTCTATGACAATGAAATATCCATAAAAATTTCCTTATCACATTGTTAAATATTTAAACTTAACAAAAATTTAACAATAACTATCATAAACATGAATACTGGTCATTATTTTATGAAGTAAGGGGGTACAAATGAAAAGATTTAAAATTGACACCTTTTTAAATTTCACTGAAACAGACATTAAACACTTCTATCTTCTGTTCCTTCTTTCATTTTCGCACTAAAAGCAAGTAGCATCTTTGATGTCTTTTGTCTTCTCACATCATTCTTTCTTTTTTTTTCTTGTGTCATCTCTGTTGTAGCATACCTACGGATGATAATGAATATGTCCCCATTCACATAAATACAGTAGTAAATACTGTATGTTAGTCTGCAGTTGGAGATTCATTGTGAAATTCACGACCCACTTCTATGTGCTGTTGGCAAATCTTATATGTGTTGTTCTTGTTCTAAGTATTATCATTCCTTTGTTTGATGTTTATTAATTAATTTGTTTCTAACATGTTCTTTTACGTTAACACACCTTTCAAAGTTTTGCTGCTCAGTCTAAACAGTTTTCAATGCTACTGCTCACAAAGTAGGTAAGAAAAGTTAGATACTAATCTCACATTAGAAAAATTAGACTTAGTACCTTAGAGTGGGGGCATGGCAGATTAATGTATAGTGGCTCAAATTAAGGAATCGGAGAACTGAGTTTGAATTCCAATTGAGTTTGTTACATTCATTTCCATGAAAATACCCTTGAGAAAGTAAGAATGCATCTCTCCTCTTCTCTTCTAGTTATAGGTAAATAGCAGGACAGACTAATATTTCTAGTGTGCAGCTGGGCTGCTCCATGTCACCTATATGTTTCAACTTCTATTCAGAAGAGGCAATTTGAGAGTCAACATTGGAACTGTCCTGGATAGGAGTGACCACTGGTAGCAAGAATCTTGACAACCACTTCTATATTGAGGATAGCATACTGATAGTAACACTGCCAGTGACACTCCAAAGATGATTAAGCCAAAGAGTCTCCGCTGAGTATCAGTTGGAGATCAGTACCGAGAAGACAATGATCATGGCAATCACTGGGAAGCTGGTGCAATTTATCAACAATCAATACTCTCTCACCCCAACCCACCCCAAGCTATGGATAAATAGCAGGAATTCTAAACCTCCAACTATGGGTTAAATAGCCTCACCAATCCACAATTGGCCAAGTGTAGAGAGCATGGCTACATCCTTAAAGACATCAAGAAGTGGTTCCTTCATCAGAAGTGAGAAGACCCTGGATTTGAATTCCTGAGTGTTAAAATTTTTAAAAAATCTTAAAAAGATTAACTTATATTTAAACAAAAAACAAAACCAGAAAAAAAAGCAGAATATCTTTGACAAAGAATGGTGGCTATTTTTAAAGAAGAAAAACTCCAAGCTTACAGTAGGTGTCAACAATATATATGTCTTTGAAAACCACTGATGACACTGTGATGCCACAGACACACAACAACTATATTGTGTTTGCATGACAGCAATGAACACCTACAGTAATGCCATCTCTTGCATGAAGATTGAATTTTTGGCACTGTGTTCAAAATTAAAAGTTATAGTTGTTTTTTTCATATCGGTAAATATTTGTAATTTTATTGTATAGCCCCCTCATCCTGAAGAGCTTTTGTAACTTCTCTCTTTCTTGTCTTCTCCTGACCAGTCATCATTAGGGGTTTTGGTTATGGTAACTTCAACACAGGGAATTTTCGACATATACATCTTCTATTTATCCAGTGGGGTAATTTTTCTTCCACTGGGGAGCCATTTCAGACACAAAAGAAGATACATCTACATTGCTTGACAGTTCAGTAACAACTCCCTTAAAAGCCTTTCTTGGTCTATCATTCTCACACTGGCTTAACCAATCAAAATTGACTTCCTTATTTTGTCTTTTATCTGACCCCAAAGGTCAACCTCAAGAAGTCCAAGCAGAGATACCATTCCCCGAAAAATAAGTCTGCTAAACTATTATTTAACAATTTGAATGACTGTAAGCAAAAGAATAGTCATAAAAAGCACAAATATTAGAACCATGGAACTAATCTATGACATACATTCAAACCACAGACTACTGCTAGTTACAATGAATGGATATCTCCTCAGAGAGGCACCATACCTTCAGAGACTATTAGATCTTAAACTCACACCTGACTTTAAGTGGAACTCATACATATAAGTCTTTTGAAAAATGTAGGTAAAATAGTTGGCTGCTACCACTCCAGTAAGTACCTGACTCCACATACTATCCTCTATCTTTACAAGAGCCAGATCAGGCCAAG